ATAGCGAATTGTCCAGGGTGAGATTTGTGTAAGATTTTCAATACAGCATTCCAAAGGGTAAATGGGATGACCGGTTTTCCGTCCAGATAAAGTAATCCGTCGGATTCCTGTAGGTCTTTTGTAAATTGGTTAAGATAATGTGAGTTTTCATTAAATCTTTTCTACTTTATTTTGAGGGGCTGAAACAATCGGACCAAGCATGGGGTCTTCCTCCGTCAGAAGGGCCACTAACTTGGCGTTGAATAACGAGTTTTAATCCAAGGGTCGTTCCGGCAATTTCAAATTTTCTCGTTATTTAGACACCAAGTATTTGTGTTCTAAAGAAATTGGGAAATCAGTTGTGACCTGTATACCGGAAGTAGAACGATTAATTACAATTTGGTTATTTGACATATTTACACTATTTATAATTTTAAGGTCCTGCGAGTTAATAATTAAGCTACAATTAAGATTTAAGAAATAAAGGAAAGCTGGTTTTAATAAAGTAATTTTTGTTGTGTCAATGTTTGAAAAATCCGAAGGAATACATTTGGAATTACAAAATTCAGTTCTGTGGTGTTTTTGATTGCAAATTTAAATAGATGAGTTAAAAATTTTAAGAGCTGTGATTATCACATAATTACGTAATTTTGTGTATTTGGAATTTTCCGGAGTTAAGCCAATGGTATTGCATAACAATTTATTATTATCCGAAGGATTTAAGGCTTTGTATATTTTTCGGTAGTTGCTTTTCCTTCGTGGGATGGGGGAATTGCTTTTCCCAAAGGGGATCTTGAAATTAGATCGGTAAAGCCCATGTTTTTCCCTGCTAGATGTTTTATTGTGAAATTAAATGGTAAAAGGCGATCGACCCATCTTGTTAAACGGCTGTGGTAAGTTTTGTTTCCATGATTTGGTAATAATGCTGAAAGGAGGGCTTTACGGTCAGTAATAATTTCGAAATCGGAACCGTACAGATAGTTCTTATAGTGCTCAACCGCCCAAACAACTCCCAACAATTCCAATTCGTTTGTCGAATATTTAGACTCGTGTGGGTTTAAAAACCTTGAAGCAAAAGATATCGTTTTCCAGTCAATCCCATGGAGCTGTTCTAGTGAAGCGCCCAGTCCATTATGGGAAGCATCGGTTTTTACTCTCGTAACCCGTTTCACGTCCAAGTGGGTATTTTCTCAAACGCTTTAGTTTGATCCTCATTCCAAGAGAAAATCGATTTCTTGTTTAAAAAAGGTCTTAAAGGGCTTCCGAGGGATGCTAAATTTGGTACGAATTTGATAAATTGGTTTGTTGACCCAAAGAATGATCTTAGTTCTTTTAGGTTTTTTGGAGTTGGGATATCTTTGATCGCTTTGGTTTTGTCGATTAGGGGGGTGATTCCTGACTTTGATATTTTAAAACCGAGCAATCCTATTTTTTTTGAAAGAATTTACTTTTTGACCATTTAACTGCAAAATTGTAATTATCTAAAGTCGATAAAACTTTATAAACGATGTTCTTGTGGTCGATAAATCTCCTTTGGAGGCAACTAAAATATCGTCAAGGTAACAATTAGTAAAAGGAATATTTCCGACTGTCGAGTGTAAGACTCTTTGAAACTCATTTGGCATGTCGCTCAGTCCATAAAAACCTGTTAAAAGATGATATGTGCCCGTTATATCTCTGCCTTTCAGACTTAAGTTGTATTGACTGCTAGTATAATTGTCTAAGGAAAGTTGGCTATATGCGTTCTTCAAATCTAGATTTGTAACCACACTTCTCCGGCGGAATCGTTTGAAATTTGTGAGGCTACGTTGTCAACTAGTTCGTGGATGTTGGGCATTTGGTATTTTTTCTTGTAAATTTGTTTGTTAATGAATTTTGAACCTAGAGCTAACTTTTTCGATTTGTCCTTTTTGCAGGTAATAACAATTGGACTAATGAATATGTCTTTGTCGCAATTTACTATTTTTTGATATGTCCTTCGGATTTTAATCGGTTTAATTCTGTCTTTACTGAATCGAGTAAGTGAAGCGGAACGCGTCTGCCCTTTAGTTGGATCAGTTTTAGTGGTTCATGGAAATGTGTTATCTTTGTTTGATATTTTATTTTTTCAATCCGAAGGAAAAGTTATTTAAAGGTCTTGGATATCATATCTATTTCGTTCTCTTTGTTCGGTGAAGAAATTAAATTTATGGACTTACAAGTTTCCTTGTTGATGAATTGAGGGAAATAATTCTAGGATACTTCAATTCCCACTTTCGGCAAATTGTCATTTCCAAAGATATTTCATTTGTGTCCTTCCGGTAGAAAAAAGTGGCATTCTCTGTGAGAGCATCCATTCGAAAAAATTGGTACGATTAGTTTTCCAGTGATTTTGATCGAGTTATCCGTGAAACCACAATAGAGTTTCATCGTCGCCAAATCCACTGGATATATCTTCAGATATGGGTCTCGTAGCTTCAATTCATGTAGAACGTTTCGTTTAAGGAACCTCACTGGACTAGCTGAAATACTTGAATTTTAAGAATTACTTGGTTCTCTTTTCCTAAACCAATGTTTGGCAATTTCTTTAATTCTTTTCCTTGGTTATCATAGATAGTTTTCACATTTAATACAGAGTAATCATCATTATTGCTCTGTCCGGATTCCGACCATGCGTTTATTACTCCACAGCCTTCTCTATTTACAGGGTCGTTATTTACATCCGGTTGTTCCGAGGGATAATTACAATCTGTATTGTGTACAATTTGGCTGTCTACAATATTTATATTTTTACGGCGTGATTTACAAAGTCTGGTGAAATGCCCGCGATATTTACACGATGTACAAATTGTGTCCTTGGTGGGGCACACTGCCAGGTGTCCTTTAGAAAATGTTCCGCTGCATTTCATGCAAGTGTTTCTCCTTTCGATAATTAAAGTGGGTTCTCTTTTTATGTTAAAATGATTAAAAGGTTGGTTGGAAGAAAATCCGTTGGATTTAAAAGTACTCGTCATCTTCATGTGGTTTGTTATACCTTTTTCGTCAATCAGGGTTACATTTAATTGACGTTGAAATTTGGATTTGACGTTGGAATTTGGATGTCCGAATTCTTCATGTTATTTACAAAAAGGTCGCGGATCCATTCGTCTTCTCCTGCTGATATATTACATCTCTTAGCCATTTCTGCGAGGGCTCCCCAAAATTGTTCCAAATATTCTCTCTCTCTTTGTTTTCGATTAAGTAACTTGTGTCTTTTAAACGTTACATTTGTTTTTCTCACGAAAGCTATCGACAGATTTTCGCAGAACTCTCGTGAACGCTTGGCCGAATATTTTCTTCCCTTTTTTTCCAGGGGCTACGTAAAGTACAGATCTAAGTTTTTTATCAGCCTCTTCGAATCTCATGCCATTAAATCTCTTTGTTTTTGACTTTATTGAGGCCATTTCTTTGTCGTCTTATCTCTTTTGTTCGCGAATATTCCTTTCCAGGCGTGATGTTTTTTGTGGTTCTGTTTGACTCTCCGGAGGATTTTCCAGAAGTGGGGGTGTGGATGATATCGTTCTGTCGGATTTAACAGATTGTCTATATCGATATTTTCCTTTGCGATTATTGCCAGTTCAAATCAATTGCTCCGCTCCTCCCAAGGAATTAGTGGGTCCACCGTGTGGTTTTGCCAAAATGACGGTATACCTCTCACGTTTGATTCGTTACTGTTAGACTGCACCATGATAAAATGTTCCTTTGTTATAGCTAATTCTACTTATGTACAGTTAAAAGCGTGTTAAAAAGTGAATTAATCTCAAAGTAAAAACATTAAAAAAGTGAGAAGCGCATTCTCTCCGCCGGCGAGAACGAGCATATCAAGGTCAAAGCTAAGTAACCAGTTATAAATTAATTAATAACTAGAGTGAAATAGTATGATTCACGACAAACATATTGTCTGACTCGTCTGAACAATAAATCTTTGGGCTCGTAGTAGTTCAGTCAAAACAGTTGCAGCAAATGAACGGCGTAAACATTCTTAGGCCGGAAAATTTGCACCGTGAAAAAATAACAAAACTCAAGCGCTTAAAGTTTGTTGAATTTGATTCAAAGAATTCTTAATACCGTTTAATTACATCTGAAGAAAACTTGGAAGAAACGAAATTTTGTTACTATTAATTTTTCAAAAATCATTTTATGAGAAGTTAGTTTTCCCTTTAATTCTCATAACGTATATGATTTTTTCTGTTGGTAGTCATATTCCTCAAAAATCCGCTGTTTGGAGGAACTCTCAATTATTTGGCTCTTTCTACCACCGAAAGAGTTTTTCCATTGTTTTTCTATAATAGAACATCCGTATTTGGTCAACTAACATTAACTTTCTAAGGTGCCTTTTTGAACCCCCCTCTCTCGAAAACATCTTTGATCCGCCTCTGGTTTTGAGATTTGCGCGCTTGTAGTCCTTTGCCTGACCTTGCATGTAACCATTTGATAAGATCTTCTGAGCTTTGAAATACTCTTACGGTCCAACGACTGTTTTAAGTATTCTTCGAACTTAAAATTAAATATGCTACAAAGTATGTAATTATAACATGGCAACTGCTCACAAGGGTTTTCTTTTGATCTTACAACTTCTTCAATTAAGATAAAAGTGTTGGAGTTTGAGGTTAGTATTTAAAAATGTTCTCCGAATAAATACTTGCGCATCATTTCAAAATACGAAACTAAGTTTTGACTTTGTCTGAGATCAAACTTATCAGAATCTGACTAATCTGGAAATCTTTTTTTCTTGTCTTATATAAGTATTTATGGTCTGGAAGTTGTATTTACTATGCAAGTTCAAAAAAGGACTCTTATATGTGTTGTGGCTTTTAAAAGTCTGTACAAAAACCTTGAGTCGATCTTCAAAACATCATTATCAAATGTTTAATTTAAGATAAGATAAATTGTGTAGTATAAATACCGCCCGAACGTTAAATGATTTTTATTAATTTTTGCATAATCTAATAAGAATTCTCCATTGAATTTTAACTGAATTTTTTCTCTGGCCAGTCTGCAAAATGCAACTGAAACTTCTGCAACTGAGCTTTGTGCTGCTGTTTGCTAAATCTCTCGGAGCTTTCCACTATCGTAAACTCACTTCGGACGAAAAACTACGAAACCAGGTAAATTCAAGCTAGATCAGTCCAATATACAATATACAAGTTGAAGAGCTTGCTTTGCTCGTAAATGTTTTCACTTTAATTGCCAAATTTTTCATTGTACTCGGGATAAGTTTTAGCTTTCTTTCTTATATAATCTCCCAGCCTAATAAAATGAAATTAAATTTTCGTAAAGTTTGTTTTATACTTCCGAGGATAACAGATGAAGGTTTCTAATTCAAATAAATTGCAAAATAACTGTATAACTTTCTGACTTTTAATTTTTCCATATACAACTAATCGAGATAGAAAAAATTTTGACCAGCAAAATGCAGATCTTTTTACTAAGCAAAATTAATAATTTTGATTGGGCTATTAGGCGATAACTGTTTTTAAATTACAGTTTCACTAAAGTTTGGTGAAAACGAATATGCGAACTGATTGACAAATTGATTCATTTGTCAGGTTTTGGCTAAAGCAGTTGAATAACAAAAAACTAACAGAAACTGTTTTGTTCGTCTTTTAGGTTGATTTCATTGCTTTTGGAAATATTAGCATTAACAATTTTAAAAAATTTTGTATCAAAGTACAAACAGTTAACTTATTACATACAAAAAAACATCCGTTTCATTTAAAATATATAAATGAACTGAAAAGCAAAGCAACTTAAGAAGTTCCTTTCGTCCAAATTTTTTGTTTGCTTGCCCTTTTTAGTTTTTGCGTCAACGTAGTTTTTTGTTCCGACTTTCGATACGAAAGTAACGGAATATTTGTGCTCGGGGTGGGTTTTTTTTTTCTTCAGACAAATTTCGACTTTTTAACTAGCCATTTTTGACGGAATTTTTTTTTATCATTCGAAAGCTATTGTTGTCCTGAGCTTAAAATTGAAAACATATTTCACCTGTGATCATTTTTCGTAAAGTTATGGGGGTTTAAAGATTGCCATTTTGGCCATTTTGACCAATTTGGGACAATTAACGCGCGATATAATTCGCGCTATTAACGCGTAAGCGGAGATTTAATCCGTCTTTTAAATCGTTCCAAATTGGTTGAACGAAGCCTATTTGCCATAATTGATTTGTTACAAGGAACGAAATCTATCTTTTTATACTTTATATGGCGTGTGGGGGGATGATTTTCAAAAAAAAATTCAAATTTTAGAAGAAAAAAAATTTTCATTTTATTTTATTTCATTTCATTTTTTTATGTTATTACTGCTGCTCCATAAACCTTAAAAGGCAGTCGGAACATTCAGGGCTTAGCCCTGATACGAGTAGTCTTGTTACTCATTTTGGATTTAAGCCACGCGCTGCTATCAATAAGCATTTTTGCAGTTTTGACTCAATGAATTAAGGGTAGTATCATTAAAACGATCTACATATCTACACATGACACACGCAAACACACACACACACACACACACACACACATATATATATATATATATATATATATATATATATATATATATATACTCACGAGATATTGATAATATGTATAAACGTATTTTAAGCATATGCACCATTTTTTACACTTGCGATTGAAAGTGTGCTATAGTCGGGACTGAACATTTTCATATCTAACATTTTTCGAACCACTTTCAATTTTTCTAAATCACTCATGAATTCAAAATTTGCATATAATGAGCCGCGCGTAATCAATTCAAAGAAAAATCACCTTAACTCAAATTTAATTATTTGACATTCCTTACTTTGAATAATTTTTTTGCACTTCATTTTATGAGTGTCTTTTTGTTTGTTTTTGTCTGCAAGTGTTTTGAATGAAAAATCCAACCAATAAAAGTTTGGCATCTGCGTCAACGCATTTAGTTTTCTAGAAATTTGGAGTGAAGTAGTGTTTGTGCGGTTATTGCACCAATTTTTTTTATGAAAAGATATACCTTTTGTACAAGCTTTTCTTAGTCTTTAAATTGCTATCAAGGAACCGTTTTGATAGATTTTTGAAACTTATGTTGTTTTTGCTTCATATTGAATTTAACTAAAAACTGTTTCCTTTCTTTTTTTTGGCCGTTAGAATGCTTTTAAAAAAATTTATTATTAATCTTAAGTGAACAAAAAGTTTTCAATCGTTTGAGATGAATATTAATTTTTCTTTCAATAAAACTAAGAACTCCTTAATTTGAATAAATAGTTGAATATAATAGTTCAAAATATTTATTTTTTGCAGTTTTAAAAACAGATAAAAACGGCTTGCCGTTGTTGTTTAACGGGATTCAAATAAACATGTTTAGTCGAGACTCATAAAATAAAAAGAACAGTTCCTACAATGAAACGATCTTTCAATTCAATTTTTGTTGTATTTTGAGCTGTTGATTCGAATTTATTCCTGCTAACTGAAGTTATTTAGGAATAATTGAAAAACATGGATACTGAAACTTTTTGTCTCACAATAATTTCAAAGTGTGACCACTTTGTTTTATAAAACTCAAATTTTCTCAAAATTTTGCAGAACGTTTTCTGTTGTCTTGTTAGAGTTTTCTAAATTTGAATTTCGAAATCGCCACAGAAATGCCACGAATTGCCGAATTTTCAAATCAATTCTAAACCAAAATGAAACTTCTCAAAAATACTTTTTTGAAATTGTTATTTTGGATCAACCGTTTAGTTCTAATTAAAGAAACTACCATAGAGTGCTACCCCCAAGCATGGTTCAGTTTTGACAAAAAATTCTATATAAAATAATCATTTCAACCAAGTGAGGAAATATTTTTTTGAAACATTTTTTTAAAATATTTTTCAAGCGGGATTGCATTTATATGCTGTTATTCACCTAGAGTAGTGTTTTCTTTTGTATTTCATTAGTAATACAGTCAATTTTGAACCAATATAGTTGAGACTCAAAAACATGAAAAAAAAATTCCTCCAACCCCTTAATGGATTGGGGAGTGAATTGTACACTTGATCCGTCATTTTTTTGTTCTTAAAGAAGACCAGAAGCTCAAACATATAGCCGAAACCTATATTTAAATCAGTGGAAATTAAATATTTTGTTAGTATTATTGCTACTTTGACGTTTTGAAAAATTCAAAATGTAGAAAAATGTGGCACTTATTTGAGGTTAATTAATTGGGCCAAAAATAGTTGTGGAAGCAGAACTAAAAATGGATATATCTGCAACTTGATGGTTTATGAAGTAAAACTAATCATTCATTAAATTCCTGACAAAACATAAAGGCTAAACGCCATTAAAAAATGAACAACTGCTCGTACCAAGGTTGAGCCCTTAATGTTCCGACTGCCTTTTTAGGTCTATGAAGCAGTAAAAACATGAAATAATTAAATGTAACAAATTAAAACGTTTTTTTTTTTAATTTGAGATTTTTTGGGAAAATCATCTCCTCACACGCCATTTAAAGTAGAACCTGATAGATTTTGCTGCTAGTAGCAAATCAAATATGGCGAATAAGCTTCCTTTAAGCAATTTGCAGAGATTTCTAAGACGGAATAAATCTCCGCTCAAGCGTCAATAGCGCGAAATATAGCGCGCGTTAATTGTCCCAATTTCGCCAAAATGGTAACATTTCAAACCCATAACTTTACAAAAAAATGACAGGTAAAATATCTTTTCAAATTTAAGCTCAGGACAACAATACCTTTTGAATGATAAAAAAAATTGTCAAAAACGGCTTGCTAAAAAGTCGAATTACGAAATTCGCAACAAGAAATTAATAATCATTTTGATTATGTTTCAAATCTATGAACTAAATGGAAGAAGAAATGGTTTTTTATAAATAGCCTTGTTACGCAGAAGTATACTTCAGGTTCGTTTGATTTTTCTTCAGTTTTTGTAACCAAACGTTTTTGTTTCGAGCGGAACACAATGCGGAGTTTTGTTCCGACTTTCGAAGAAAGTGGTTGAATAATTGTGCTCGGGGTGGTTTTTTTATCAAGACCTTTGTCGAATTTTTTATCAAGCAATTTTGACAAAACTTTTCTTTGTCGTTCGAAGTGGAGATGATTTGCTGCATGCAAAGCAAATCACTTTCTACTTTAGATAGCCTGTGTGGAGATGATTTTCCAAAAAAAAAATGCAAACAAAAATTGGCTGGATTTATGCATGAAAGCAAAACTAAGATGATACTTACCCGATTCAACTTCGGTTATTTAAGAATTTGATTCATTTTTTGTTTCCATGTCCTATTTTTTCAACCGTTTTTTTCGGCTGCGGTTAATAATTTGACGTCAAAAAAGTTTCACAAAATCCGAACAATGTGTTTCATGTTATCATATGTTTAAGTCTCAAAACGAAGTGGAAGTCAGCCCATTTATAGTTGATATAATAAATGGCACTGCTGTTCCCGATACCAAATACCCATTTCTCGTATTCTTGGAGATGTTTGGTTCAATGTTTTGTGGGGGCTCGATTTTCAATGAGTGGACAATCATAACAGCCGCGCATTGTATTTCAAGTTCGCCTGATCTCAACAAACTCACTAATGTAGTTGCCGGCGTTGTCGATAGGAGAAACTTCAGCGTTTCAAGACAGGAACGCCGCGTAAAAATGGCAATTATTCACCCGGATTACGACAGAAAAACAGATTCCAACGACATAGCTGTTCTCTTTTTGGAAGAAGGATTAAAGTTTAATGAAAATGTAGATCGAGTGTGTTTGCCCTGGACTGGATTTGAAGCAAGACATCCAATTGTAGCTGGCTGGGGAAAAACTGAAAATGGCAGCTCAAGCGAAGTACTGCTGGAAGCGAGTGTTCCGATCTTCCCCCATGACCAGTGCGTAAACAATTACGCAAAGCACAATGTAATAATAACTGATCAAATGATGTGCGCGGGATTCGAAGAAGGCGGAATTGACACTTGCGAAGGAGACAGTGGCGGACCTTTGTTTTCTGCCATGTACGGTAATGACGATTCCACTAATACCACAGACTGTAACTTTGTTCTGGTAGGAATAACTTCATTTGGAATTGGTTGCGCGGTGCCTGGTTATCCAGGAATCTACACAAAAGTCATCGAATATGTCGATTGGATCCAGAACAATACCTATCAACCGTGGAATATTGGCGCAAGTTTTTAAAAAGATCCAATAAAATGAGTTTTACAGATGAGAAATGTAATTCAGAAATGTATGGTCAATTATAACATTCAATCAGGTTTTCACGCAGACGTGTATACAATTGCTATTGTTTGATAAGTTTGTAAACATTTTGATATCAATTTCAATTTAATATTTGATTTTTGTTCTCAGAATTATTTTAAAAAAAACAAAGCACACAGAGTTAAAAATTTTTATGTTCAAATGAGCAAATGAACAAATATTTGTATCACGTTTTCTATTCTTGGCTGCAGCTAATCAAGATACAGGGCTGAAGTTTTCACACATGGTTGACAAAACAATTTTGATGAGACTAGCTCAATAAAATAATTGAAATTTTCAGTAAACAAAACTTTTATTGGCCCTTCATTTGAAAAATCTTTAGGCAGTTTCCTCTTTATGAAAAAAAATCTGTAGTTCTTGAAAATTAAATATTTCATGTAGATGTCTTTCTTGTACAAAAGTTTCTTAATCTCAAATTTTATATTAAAAAAGTTAATGCTTTGATTAATTTTTACTCAGATTACTTCTTGATCTTCAATACAATTTTTTTAAACAAAATTATGGTCCAGCGTCTCAAACTTTTGAAATGGTTCTGACCTTCAAGCTAAAAGTTATTTCAAATAAATTTTTAATATTTCGCGGTTGTTGTTTTGTCGTCGTTTTATGTGTTCGTTTTTTTTGAAGCTGCTTGACAGATGGCTGCTGAACGAAAATTGACTTAATATTTTCAAAAAAAATTGACATCTGAAAAAAAGCAATCATTTTGGTTTGCACAGTTCAAACGCAATATTGAAAAATTGGTTGTATTTTCAACTCAATTTCACTCCTAAAGGTCAGAAATAATTCAGAAATTTTAGACGTTGTCCGATAAAATTATTAAAAACTGCAATAAAATCGGATCCCAGAGCTCAAAGTCAAAATAGTGTTTCACCTGCACTCTTTCACGTAAAATTTCACACTTAACAAAGCTATGCCGATGTTTGAAAAGCTGTTGAGATGTTGAAATAACAATATGACGACTTAAGATTTCATCTGTGATACTCAGCGCATCAACACAAACCAGAATATTTTCGCCTAGTTTATTTTGTCCTGTCTTCATGCATGGTATATACGATGCAAAAATTTTATTTATTAAAAAACCAACTAAAAAAACCGACTAAAAAAACCAAAACTACAAAAATTCGATTGTGGCAAAATTTAAAACTGGCACGCCCAATTGAGAGAAGTTTTTTTTTTGAAAACGAGGATAAATTGAACCAAAGTGAAATAGGGGAAAAATGAAATAATTTTTTTTTATTCACAAAATTTTCAAAAACATGCTGTTTGTCTGTTTTTTAATCATCTTTTCATTAAAAAGCTTAAGTTAGAAATGATTGAAGCTAACTAAAGCAAGCAATATCCGAAAGTCATAAGCTTATATGAACGATGAAATGTGTCAATTTATACGTCTGGTTCTATATAAAGTTATAGTTTTGTGAACGACTGCTGAGCAAAACTCATATTAATTACTGAAAAAACTCAACACTGTTTCTAAAACAGGACTTTATTTTCTGATTTCTCCACCAAAATAGTGTTGAAATTATGTATTGAAAGCAGTAACCTGATTTTTGCTCTATCTTAAAAATTTTTACAAATTGACTTAGAAAAGAGAATTAAGGTCTTAAGCATCAATTAATTCATTACTTTTGACCTACAGCAGAATGGACCTGAAAACCATTTCCTCAAAAAATTCTAGAATTCGACCTGATTTTTCGAATGAAAGAAAGTTGAAGGCTGTCAAAGAATATTTATAAGTGTGGAGAAATATTTTAAACAGATTCATCTCAAATCTTAGATCATTAATTGGACTCGAGAGTGTTGATGTCTCAATCTACTCAAAGTAAAATTTTGTAAGCATAACTTAAGCCCTTCATTGCGCACATTAAAAAAAAATTCTCGCTTTTGTCATAAAGTTTTTGATTGTTACAGTTTCCAAAAAAAAATGAAGTAAATGTTTGCATTGGAAACTAATTCTTAGCTTACGCCCCATCTACAATCTTCCATTTGATTTTTCCCCTGAGTTTTATTCGTTAATTTTACGCGTTCTCGAGATTTCATCCATCAAGTTCAGCGCCTAAACGGAAGCAGAGTAATTTCAAAGAGTAAAAACGTGCTGTTTCTGCAGTTTTCCAATGAAAACAGACTTTAGACCATCTTAGATGAAATCAGAAAGGAAATGCGGATAGTTGTGTCTGTTTTGTGCTATTTTTGGAAGTTTATTTTTCACGAATCATCAGAAAAAATTTAGAGCCAAGTAACTGAGCACAAACAATTACCAACACGGCTATTAATGATTTTTAAGTTACCAAACTAAAAATGTAGAAAATATTTGAAAATGTAATGTTCTGTTTTAATTAAGCAATAAGGCTTATTACAAAAGCTAATGGTTGCGTAGTTTTCTTTTCAATCCATCCAGAAAAAAATTACTCAATTTTAAACCATTGAACCTAGGTGGATTAGATTGTTTTTCTCATAATTTTTTGGTGCTTTTTTCTAAATCTTGAAGTACTGAACTTGAGCAAAATTAATTTGCTCGCCAAAAACCAGCCACATTTTTAACATGCGTTATTGTGTTCAGCGCACAAAATTTTTCAAAATTAGAAAACAGCAAGCTGAACTCTAAAAGATTCATATTTTATCCCCAAAATTTTTTGGTGGTGGTTGTGATGATATAAGAAACACTCTTGAAACACTTTTTTGGCCTGGTCTCTATGCGTAGTGAAAAACCAGAAGATACAAGATGTCTTTTTTAAGTTTTTGAAGCCCTTTCTCAATAACCAGTAGCGAAAGTACTATTTTAAATGTTGTTCAGCATAGCTTTCCTTGAAAATTTCTTAAATTAGAAAGTATTGGAGCCATTGCCAGCAGGCAAAATCCGAATTTCATGAAAACATATCCATTTTAAAATTGAATTTCTCAGGTCTGATTTTATATACAAAAATATTTTGTGAACAGAAATTGAGCAATTTTCTTGAATAATCTCTGAAAAAAATCAAATTTCTAAATTGTTTATTCAATATTATTTTGCTCTGGATTTTTCGTTATAGCTAGAATTAAAAGTATGCATTGGGAGCAACCTCTTGACTTTTGGTTTAACGAAATTTTTTTAAAAAATTTTACAACTGAATTTAGAACAGTTACGTTTCAAAGTTGCATCAACTGATACATTACTTCTGAATCTGAAAGAGATGCAATTGAAAAACGTTTTTTCAAAATTTTTATAGTTAGAACTAGTTCTCTGAATGAAATCAAATTGAAGGCTCTAAAGCATTAAGAAGAACTATTGAGGAGTCTTATGAACCATTTCGTTTCAAATTTGAAATCAATTCTTACAGTTGAGAATGTTTGTCTGTTTTTTCCCTAAACTTCAGTTTGTAACCATAGTGTAAACTTCTGATTGCTCAAATTTTCTGTGAGTATCCATTTGTTTCGTATGATTTTAAAATCAACAATTTTTAAATTTAGTTGAAAGTGTTGGTCATTTTTTTCCTTAAGCTTTAGTTTGTAATCATAATGTAAACTTTTGATTGCTCAAGCTTCCACTGAATTTCTAGTTTTTCATACGGACTTAACATCAACAATTTTTTAACACAGTTGAAAATGTTTGTCTCATTTTTCCCTAATTTTTAGTTTGTATCTTTTATGTACTCTTTGATTGCTCGAATTCCTATGAATTACCAGTTTTTTCATATGATTTTAACATCAATAGATTTTTAAACTTAAACAATTTTCCATGTGAATTTTTCAATAGCTTAAAGTTTGAAAGCTGGAGGCTAATTGTTGTTTTCCACTTCATCTACCATCTTCAATTAAACCTTACTTCCATGAATTTTGTACCCTTATTAAGCTATTTTTTGCGAAATAATCTATCACTCTTAGAGCGTAATCGTAGACGAAAAGACATTCAAAAAAACGTGCTGTTACAAAAACCTTTTAATGAAAATCCACTTCAACTCATCATAGATGTAATCAGAAATGAAAACTTATATTCAAATTGAAATTTGATAAACCTTTGTTTTTGCGCATCATCAGAATAAAATAAAACTAGGAAACTGAGCAGAAACAAGTATTAATGCGGTTAATAAATTTTTTTCAAATTACCAAAGCAAAAAAGTAGAAAAGGCTCAGATTTCTGATTTTTTTTAAATAAAACAACCAGCTCGTTTTAAAACTGGTGGTTTGTCTGGTTTTCTACTAAATACAGATTAGAAAAATTTACTACTGTTTAAACTATTGAAACTATATTGATCAAAGTAATTTTTGAAATATTATTTTGGTGCTTTTTCTAAACCTTGAAGTACTCATATTGTTTAAAAGTGTTTTTGCTCACCAAAAGCAAGCCGGAGGTTTTATTACATGCGTCGATGTTTCCAGGTCTCAAATTTGCCCAAAATTGACACCAAGCAAGCCAGCCGGTGCCATTAAATCCCTAGAGCACTCACTTTTTCATACGTAAAAATATGCTTTTGGGACCTTTTTTGTCTCGTACTTGTTGCTACTGGTACTTTCGCCAATGTCTTTCACGACACGTTAAAATCAAGAAAACCAGTCCTCGCTGGCCTTTACTGCCGTGTCTTTTGGCCACTTCTTCTCATCTAAGTTGCTATTAGCAATAGCTGCATTATCGGTATTGTTCAATTGAAGATTTCAAAGATCAACTGACATCAAAAGTTTCTTTTTTGAGGAAATCGACAATGTTAAGTTTTCCCTGCCTTTTTTGAAAGGAAAATGTTTTATTGCGGAAAAAAATTGTACAGCTATCAAGAAAAACAAGTAGAAAAAATTTCACTGAGAAGAACAGATGATTCATCTTTTGCCGCATCTTTTGCCCCAATGTGCAGATCGAAAGTTGCTTGAAATGCTACAGCAACAATAAAAACAAGAAAACCACCAACAACAACAACAACAACAACATCAACATCAACAACAAAAACAACAAC